ATTTCGTGATATCTTTAATTCTCTAATTTTGGTGAATATTTTTGTCATTTTTGGTAAAAAGTGATATTTTCGACTTCTCGTTAAAAACCGCAAGTGCAATTGCTTTGATATTACATATATAGGTGCTACATGTGGACCTCTCTCAGATTTGTTCATTTCATGATGATATCTTCAATTCTCTAATTTTGCTTAATATTTTTGTCATTTTTGGTAAAAAGTGATATTTTCGACTTCTTGTTGAAAACGCAAGTTCGATTGTTTTTATATTACATATATAGGTACTACATGTAGACCTCTTTCAGACTTGTCAATTTCGTGGTGATATCTTCAATTATCTAATTTTGATGATTATTTTTGGTGAAAAGTGATATTTTTGAATTCTTGTTGAAAACAGCAAGTCCCATTGCTTTGATACTATACATATTGTTCATTTTTTAATGATATCTTCTGTTCTTTAATTGAAATGTGCATTGCTAACAGCGGAGCTATCTCAGCCAACTGGCTGCTTGTTTAGCTTTGGGATTACCTGTTTGTCTGAATTAAATAATCATTCAATTATTGCTTTACATAATTGAAGGTCAAATATTTTTTTTTTAAATGTTTTTGTGCCAGGCGACAGTTCCGGACATTGAATTTCACTGTTGTCTCGCCTGACGTTTTTTTTTTTTTTTTTTTCCTATTCTGTAAGTGCAAATTGCAAGTGCTAGTGCTGACACATTAGTCATTTCCTGTGTTAGACTACAAGACAGGGCTGTGTGACCATCTCCCTATCAAATGGCAATTTAATGCCCTATCCTGGCGTCAACTAGGCTTGGTCGAACACAAGCACCTGCGGACCTTAACCAAGGTTACCGCAAAGTCTCATTCGTTAGTGAATGAATCTCGGCCAGTGGAATTGGCCTTCCCATTGAGGTATTCAAAATACTGAAAACGCATCTCACTTGACACATCTTGAAGAGCATATTACTATTAATTGGATATCAAGACATAGTTCCTGTCCAGTTGTTGGACTTCTGTGAACATAGCACACAATAGGAGTTTTTGGGATAACCCTGCCTGTGCGTATACTGGGTATATGTCTGTTTCACTGATAACTGTTTGTTGGATTACAAAGAAACATAGCACATAGATGCCTCGGTACAATGCACAAATTAGTTTTTTGGTTGAAATTTGTGCATATTAATTACCCACTTTGAATGTAAAGCATTGGATATATCCAACACCCACTTTCTCCAGTTCTTTTTTTTTCCCAATGTGAGTGAATCGGTCAGAAAAAAAAGTAGGCCGTCTGAAATTAGCCAAAGAAATACCTGTTGCTCAACAAGACAGTGTTCTTGCCCATGTATGCCTCTCGGGCAGTAGGGAGAAAGTGTTCGCGACCCTCACGATTTCTGACTGCGTGTTGTGTAACCATGGAGTTTTCTCAAAGGATTTTTTGGTGAAGAATCAAAAAGTAAGATTAGAAGCAATCATTATGCCCTTATAGCAGATTGTTGGCAGCTGGGAGCAGGTGGAATAACTGCTTCTTCCAGTCAGAGCCTTGCACAGTTATTATTGAACATGTGCCTGTGATCTGATTATGGAACAAAATGACATGAACATGTATTCCTATATGTATGATGTACATGTCCAATATGAATGAAAATGGTCCCTATGCCTTGGACACGTATAATGTATGTTCCAAATTTACAAAGCATGCATAAGATACCACATTTTCAAAAAATAAAATTGCTGCCAGTCGGCCATTTTGGATTGAATCAGTAAACCACTGCATATGTTAGAGATAAAGCACTAGGCACATGCAAAGAAAAAACAGATTTGATCCACAGGGTTCTGAAATGCGACTGGACGGAAGAACAGAGACCGAATTATAAGTCCTAGTTTTGAATTCCGTTCAAACGGGGACTGATGCACTGAACAAAAGTCTGTTCAGGACTAGCCACAAAACAATGTTACGACAGACATTTACTCTTTGTATACCTTTCTCCCTTCATCTACAATGAGTCAAGGTAAAAAATAACTGTTGAATTGGGTGCACCTTAGCTGTGTAGATACATTCAGCAACAAGTCTTGTGGAAATTATCACCCACTCAAAAAACACCATCTTGAAACACGCACACAAAAACAACATCTTTGATTTTGTTTTGTATACACTTTAATAAAATGAACTGAATTGACACAAAGTGGTGAGCTGTAAAGCTTTAGGAATTGTGAGAAAGGCTCATCTAAAAACAAACAAAAGCTGGCTCTGTAAAGACGAGCATTACAGCTACCACCCTTGATTTTTTTACAGTACAATTATACTAAAGCATAAAATAAACACTGTTCACGAGACAGCAGGTTTGACAATCTAATGTCCTATATACATATTAAGTTGTAATAAACTAAAGAGGCATATAGACAAAAATAATTTAAACTTTGCTCTCGGTGCTTCAAAAAGTTTGTATGCTTAGAGTTTGGCCAAGGTAGTGATAAAAAGAGAGCACTGACACTGATATTAAAATGACACACTGGTAAACATATCTACGAGTGAAGAAACCAAAAAAAAATAGTGTGCATTTTAAAACTACACACATCTATTTAACACCACCAGATAATTGATTTACTAAATGTGCATTCCAACACCTTATATACAAATTGGTTATAACTACATGTATGCTTTGGACACAGAAGTAAGTACGGTACACGCATAGACAGCCACTTACTGTCAGATGCAAAAGCATAATGATAAATAAGTCATTTGCATTGAGCTGGCACTGAAAGTCGGCTGATCTTGATAAATCTCTAGGAAGAGATGGGTAATTTTTTTTTCCACTGACCTTGAGCAATTCACTAAAAACTGAAAGCAGGAAATGCTAATCCCCTGGAGTACAGTACGCAGAAAGAAGACCAGAGACGAGATACAATGACGATTAAGAGAATCTAAGAAAGAAATTGCGCAAGTTTAACAGCTTCTAAATGGGTACCAGTTTTAGATCAAGAGAAAATTACCAAAAAAAAGAAATCATAATCTTCAAGAAAATGCTATTTTGCCATTCGGCACTTCATCAATATAACAATTATGGATGAACTTGCCATGAATACTATAAAACCTTGAAATGCATATAAAATCGTAAATGGCTAGTTACAAAACAGGGCTTTTTTTTTATCTCAATACTGTTTAAATATATAAAAAAAAATATTCTCACACAAGTCAGAGAAATTGATTTTACCCTACTAATCGAGAAAAACTTTTTCTCTTTAAACTTCTCATTTTTAATTCTAATAATTTATCCTAGTCAAAGCAAATTCTTAATTTGTTAAAATCATTTTTTTATCCTGGAAGAAATTATCAGCGAGAAAAAAAATATGACAAAAAAAAAAGTTCACTATCATTTTCTTTATTTTTTGTGAAAGGGAATTCCAAAATTTCTAAATTGGACCAAAAGATAAGTAGTGTGTTTTTTTTTTAGATTCAGAATAAGATTACACGTTTTGTTTTTACCTGCACAATGAGTACACCACATTATTTGAATTATTCTATAACTAACATAAAGCAACCTTTTCTTTCATAAAATATGTTCATCAACACAGAGTGATTCATTTCTTTCTCAAAAAAATAGTTTTTAAAAACATACAAACGATACATTGACTCACGCACACAAATTATGTGCACACATGCACGTACAACTAAAAATTTACCAATACACATTTTACTGCATTCAAATTGTTTTTCAAACAAAACATTTAGAGATATATAACAGGGTGATCTGCTTGTTGCTCTCAATAAATAACAGAGACTTACGCACATTTCATCTACTGCTAATCAAAGGCAAGCAGAGATTCTCTATCTAAAGAGTGATCCGTTTTTATTTCAGTCTTTTACCGTCATCTACTTGTAATACACATATTGCAATAACTCACTGTACAGACTGACCATAGATGCTTAAGAAAGTTTTTAAAAGTTTTTTTTCTTCAAAAAAAACAAAAAAAACAGTGTTGTTGGGTGTATGTTGTTGTGGCTGCATCTGTTGGTGTGCAAACAAAAAACGTAAAACTAAAAACTTGGACCACTAAAAAAAAGTTAGCCACTGAATTCTTGTGGAAATTTCATTAGATTTTCAGTATTTCATGATTTGGAATTAAAACTATCAACTTGTACTGCTGGCACATCTTTTAAATTTCACTATCTAAATGTAGTTCACCTATCGTGACTGCAATATCGCTGAACGACGGCCTATCCTTTGGGCTATCTTCCCAACACCGGTGCATGAGTGCTTCCAATTCCTCTGGGCATGACGATGGTCTTTCTAAACTAATCTCTCCAGACACTAAACCTTTCAGCACGTCCTCGTCAGCTAAGTTAGCAAATGGCAATTCTCCCAATGAGAACACCTCCCAGATAAACACTCCAAAGGCCCAGACGTCGCTCTTTGTACTGTACTCCATTTCAAATATGGCTTCAGGTGGCATCCAGCGAATGGGAATTAAGCTCTGATGATATTCATAATATTCTCTACTGTAGGCGTCTTTGGTCAGGGCCAAGTTGCTGACCTTGATCTCAAGGTTGGGACTAACTAAACAATTCCTTGTAGCCAGATCCTTGTGGATGAAACGATGATTGGACAAATGCTCCATACCCAGGGAGACTTGATTAATAAGACTGATCTTATGATTAAGGTGCAGTGGTGGGGGTGCATTCTTGCCATTATCACCTCTTGTGGCCTTCAGGAACTGCTTCAAATCACCCTGAAATCAAAACAAACAAGAATTGTGACTTCACAAATTGATAATGTGATGGCAACCATGATGAGGTGCAAAAAATCACAGTGGTTTCATCAATATGTATAAAAGCTTTATGTGGGAATGAACCAAATCAAGCACGAGTGCGCCCCCTAGTGGTGAATTCCACATAATTTTGTCTCCACAGCTACAGGAAGTCTAAAACGTACAAGAAGTTCATTCAGTCTGTGAATATGACAATGCCAATGTATTGCGTTAAAAGCCATTTTCGTCCAGTTGAAAACCAATATTACCAATATGACATTATTGGTACACAGGAAATTTAAGTGAACAGTAACTTACCCACTCTAGGTATTCTAGAATCATGTACTGAGGGTCGGCTTCTTTACAGATTCCTAGCAACCGTACCACATTGTCATGTTGTAATTTACTGAGCATGTCTATCTCTCTCTTAAATTCAACTTGTAAATCTTCATCCTTACTCATCAGTGCCTTGACAACCACCACAGTTTCTCTTTCACCATCGCGGATACCAATCGCTTTCGCAAGAAACACTTCCCCAAACTCACCACGGCCTGTAGGATAGGATATAGAAACATTATATATTTATGTCAAGAGTAGAGACCTGTCAAATAACATCAATCAAATTTCAGTTGTTGAGTGTCCTTCAGCCGTTTGAGTGTCAATTCCTCACCAGGGTAACTATACTATCAAGCAGCACAGTTACCGATCTTAAAAAAGACGCTACAGATTTCTATAGTTTTGAGTAATGTAAACAATGTACTAAAGAATATGAAATCATAAAAATGTAGTTACATGCAAATTGATTCCTCATAGTTATAAAGTTACAAGTCCTACCTAACATAGTAATGGTCTGCAGATCATGCCGTGGGAACTGCAATTTATCGTAACTTCCTCGTCTTTTATTGGCATACATCATATTCATCGCCACTTCATTCTCCACTTTAGGTTCACCGGGAGCTCCTTTAATATCCGTGAAATCTTTGTACGCCTCCTTTGGAGCTTCTCCATTCTCTTTCCGTTCTCTTGCCAGGGCTGCTCGTTTTTGCTTTTTCCGCCTCGTTTTGCAGTACACCATCAGGCCGACCACAAGAACGATGTAAGCTACAGCACAACCGACTGCAATTCCAACGGTTTTCATCATTAATGGATTACTCCTTTCTTCTGGTCCCACATGAGTTGGTGGACGGTCTCCTCAAAAAAATAAAATAACAATGAATGTTAGTATGAGGGCGTGGTGCACAAAGAATAGGTGCTTCGCCATTACCAAAATCATTTTAATACTAATTTTTGACAACAATTTACTACTTACTTATGACTGACAATGTCACCTCTCTGCTATTCAGTCCAGCGTTGCTACCAGCAATACAGGTGTACTTCCCTTCATCAGCAACTCGAACCTCACTGGTATACAAGGTACCATTTTCCAAGACTTCAAAATGGACAGGTAGAGATTTCTTCTCACCAGCTGTCCAACTAATTTGAGGTGTGGGGTCACCGTCTGCCTGGCAGTGCATCATAGCTGAATAACCCTCATATGCTTCCGTATCAACAGGTTCCAATGTAAACTCTGGATACACTGAGGTGTAAATAAACAAAAACATATGAAATACTAAGTATAGTAATTAAGCAATGCGACATTGAATTCATGTACCGGTAGCATGTGTTTTTTATTGAGACAGATGATAACATGGTTTTATAAGAAAAATATTATACAGACTTGTGCTACACAGCTGACAGCATGAAGCATGCTGATTTTTGTAATTGGCATACAAGTTTAATTCAGTTAATTAAGAAAAGTTAATTTATTAATTAACAAACTGTTTGGTTTATTTACTTGAATTGATGTCCCACAGAGCATTGATTAAGTTGATCATCATGAATGTCACTCAACTGGTATGAGGATAATTGTTTTACCTAGTGCAGTATGTTCTTCAGTTTTACTTACCTACAACTTGAATATCAACGGTCTCATTTATCAAACCCTGGGTGTTCTGTGCATAACAAGTATACTTCCCAGCGTCTGTCTTTTGCACTCTACTAAAGGTCAGTGTACCATCAGTTTCATTGATATGATCTGGCCATACACCGGCAGGAGAGCCTTGTTTCTGCCACCAAACAATTGGCACAGTTTTTCCCCTGGCCTTGCACACCAAGGTGTCAATTTCTCCAAGTTTTAAAGGTTTTGGCACAGGCTTGGAGGAGAATTTCAATGTTTCTAAGAGAGAAAAAAAATTATAATAAATTTTGATAATAAAAAAAAAAAAAATAAACAAGCATATCCTCCAAATATATTCCTATAATATGCAGTAATAAAATAATAATAAAAAAAAAATGATATTAGCCATGATCAGATATCAGTTTAATTTTACAGCAAAATGACAGCTTTGATTGAAGTTTGTCCTCCCTATTTCTCAAAGAATGGAATCACCCACACAGAGGGATATCCGGGTTAACAATGATCAGGGAGCACACAAACAGGGGTGTCAGCCATTCACATTTCTGTAGTCAAAATGAAGAGAGAATCAGTCTGTGGGAGACTGATCATGATGTTAATCGGGTTGCAAATGCACTGTTTTTAATTGAAGAAAAAAAAAACAGGGCACAAAACCAATCAACACCGCTGGCATGCTCTGATTAGTTCACCATACCTAGATGAGAGAGATTAACATTATATGTATGCAAGGTATAATCTACAGTGGAACCTCACGTCACCAAAGTTGTTAGTAATGTCAAATAGGTGCACTGTTACTACAACTACAGTACAGTACTTAAAAGGCTACACTATTAAAGCGAGTGGATAGTACAGGCTACTAAGAGAGAGAAGCAACAAATATATTACAGTGACCTGTCTGCTGTATGTGCAAGACTACGGTGAGCTGTGACGTCTGGTTATTCTTGTACGTGTGTCGAGATACCAATTCGAACCCATCCCGCAATTTAACTGAAAAAAGGGAATTGCCGAAAAAATTCATAACATTCATAAATGTTTTCCCTTCGCTGTTGTGGTTTTATTCGACAGTCTTTAGATATGTAGAACCCAAAGCACAAAATGATTAGAAGATTCGTCGTGAGATTCCATTGAATATAAAATAATTTTTGGATTAGTAAAAATCCATAGCGTGATTACTTTTTAGACAGTTAAGAGGACTTAAATACAAAAGCAGTGGTTTTGTCAAATTGTCATCACCGCAATTCTGAATCAGGCAAGAGAAAGAGCAGAGTGCATGGTTACACAAAAAGTATACTTCATTTTAAGTTCTAGTCTGTTAAGACAAACAACACATCTGAACACATAGAGGCATGTTTGTAGCATTTACCTTGCACCATTAGGTAAGCTGTTGCAGTCACGAATCCGGCAACAGTGGAGGCATTGCACATTAGTTCACCATCGTCCGCAGTCAACTGAACATAGCGTATTTGCAGGGTACCATTACTGAACACTTCATAACGATTTCCTTGCTGCAAAAACAAAACAAAGCTGTTTCTTAAGAAATCTGAGAAAACATATTACTGCATAGATAATTCATCTTCAATGTTAAGGGAATTATACTTCCCTGGTTTCTGTCAATTTGGTAAAAACAATAAACTGTATTAAACAAAAATACTGGGATATAAAATACCAATGCAGATTACAGAGTATTCACTAAGATGTGTATATTTCGTAGGAACTCCTCATTCAATGTCACACATACACATTTTCAATGTATAGCAACTCAGGCTAATTAATGCAGCATTAATTTTTAACACAGATTATTGTTATTGGTAGATCCATCTGTTACCACAAAATACAATTTTAAGTTTTTAGGTGTTGTTCAACAAGATCAGATATATACAAGTCACTGGATCACTGCTCAAATTAATTTACCTGAAAGTATTGAACATTGAACATCAAACATATACATATGTGTATGTTTGATGTTCAATGTTTGTTACAGCTGCAGGTACACAGTTTCTATTCATCACAAATTTGAAATAATAAGTGTACACTGTAACATGATAATAAATTGCAATTTTTGTCAGCTGTGTCCAAAAGTCAGATATTCACCACAAGACAAGCCCAAAAAGGAAATGAAAAGGTTGTGCCTACTTAATCTGGCACCGACTGCAGCAAACATGGGCCAACAACATCAGCAATAGAAAGAAAATAAATCAGCCACAAAAGGGCATTGTGTTTATCATACTTACAAACATGTTCATTACATCTATACCATCACGTTTCCATGTGATGGTAGGTTGTGGAGTACTTTCTGCTTGGCAGTGAAGAAAAGCTGTGCCTGTCTCTTTCACGGAAGTGTTCTCAGGTTGTAATGTAAACCTTGGTGTAGCTGGAAGAAATACAACAATGGTTAGTATTGAACTATGATTTATTACATCATGAATTTAACTGAAAGGCTGATTTTTTTTGTCAATTCAAAGTGAAATTTATGAAAGACAATGCACAGTCTTTCCCTTTCAGTCACCTGGTTTGAAAAGTATAGTTGACTTTCTTGAGATAGCCACACCTGCAAACCTAATACTGGCTGGCCCATCTGGCCATTCAAATACAGATGAGTCAAAGCATATATACAAGTTGAAGAAAAAAAAACAGAGCTCTCTGATTGCTCTGATTGTTAGGTGTTAGAGTTGGGTAGCCAATCAGCTACAATCTTGAATATAGCCTGGCATTGGCTAATCAAATGCCCAGGGGAAGTGAATAGATGGCTGATCTATGGAAGAAATTGATCTATATCAATGGGAAAGCGGTAATTCAGGTGACGACACAAATGTCATCAACATTCTCAAATATAAGTTGACTTAATTAGCACATGCATTTCATTTTCAATTGTATGAGGTCATTGACTGATTAAACTTGACTTTCAAATTTTGATTATTCTGTATTTGACCACTTTGTAATTTGACTTTATAATAATGAATAATTTATCAACACTTACTTGCAACTATAATTGAAGTTTGAGTGGTGACATTACCGGCCATATTGGAAGCGCGACAAGTATAGTTACCAGCATCTATCTGCTCAACTGAGTCAATAATAAGACTGTCGCCAACAAACCTCACATTACCACTGGACGGAACTGGAGTCATTGATGGGTCAAGCCATGTGAATGTTGGTGGAGGATAACCCCCAGCAAAGGTCCCTGGATATGCACACTCTACTTCAACACTGCTACGAGACAACACAACCTCGGTGCCAAGGTAGGGAAGATAGTCTAACCCTGCAAAGAACAAAACGTGGCGTTTCAATAGGTGAATCATTTAAATTATGATTACATTATTTGCTCCAATAGTGGCGCATCTGCTAAAATAAACTACAGAGGTTACTACGGTCAAAATAAATGTGATTTTTTTGGTTTACATGACTTCCGTTGGTGATGTGCTCCTAATAGAGCAATTAACAGTAATATAATTATTATAAAGACATAGATTGATTTCAAAAGGCCATTCACCACTGAGATCTAGTTCAGAGAACGAGTTCCACAATACTTGTTTTTGTCCCTCAAATAAAGTCCCATTCTCCCCAGTCATCTAGTCCACTCTTCCAATTATCTATGTAACAATGGTATTTAGTACATGGTAATAGGGAAGAACAGAACAGTATTGGAGGGGCAAAACTGAGACTTTCGCTCTAAACAAGATCTCAATAGCCAGAAATGACAGAGGGGTACACAGATCAGTTCTTCATTAATGTAACAATATTCTGAGGTTCTGGGACTAAATTTTAACATATATATATAAAGCATCCCTCTCCCCTTATATTTTCACATATACTAAATCAAACCCAATATGAAAGCAGTAATAAGTTTTTATGGCAGTGATAACACAGCATCACCACTGTAATAAATACATTTGCAAATAACAATCTCTGATTTCCACAACTCCTGTTACAATACATTTTTATCAAAACAAGACGACAATTGGCAAATCAATGTAAAGCATAAACATAAGGTTATTAAAGACTCGTCAAGACAAGACTCGTCAGACAGATTTATTAAACTGTTGCTTCAATATTGTGATGAAGATTTCGAGCATTGTTGATATACAGGAGTACACTCACTTGCCATGTGCAGGCTGGCAGAATCAAAGTCTTGTCCATAAACATTAATACCATTACACACGTATTCACCCTCATATCTGGAACGGACCTGGGTGATATGTAATGTGCCATTAGGAAAGATAAATAACCTGTAAAAAATAAATATTGATACAAAACATTCTTGTTAATATTGGAACTACGCTTTTACATAGAAGGTAGTTGAACTGATGTAGCAGTGATCCTCCCAGTTAAACGTCCACACATAATGGCTGATTTGCATATCAAAACAAGCTGTTCAATTGTCTAACAATTATCTAAGAACATAATTGCAAAGTGAAGTGTCATGGGACATTTCGAAGTATTTGTCATATTTTAGGTGTAAAACAATAAATTTCTGAAATGATGAAACCAAATTCTGACATTTTGAGAAAAAGACCAGCAAATTGCTGATGTTCGTTTAATTGATGATCTCTACTGTTTTCTTCAAAGTTCAAGCAATTTGTTTGACTAGACATGGTAAAAGTGGTGTTGTGGGGGGTTTACAGGTAGCTTCTGCATCAAGCTCTTTGGCACTGACCCCAAAACACAACAGAACACCATCCCCTTGAAGTAGTGAACATGTTGACAGATATCATGCATATGGCTGTCAATTATGTGTATTTTTCCACATAGTCAAAACCAAGAAAACATGGTCTAATTATAAATGTACATGAAATAGGAATCCAGATCACGTGACAAGTGTCAATCGGGAAAAGGATTAAAAATAATACTAGTCTCGATAAAATTTAATTAAATTATCTTTGACAAGAGCTGGTAATGAAGTTGCAGTTCTGTACAAACTGAGATTTTGACTTGACTAACTTAAAATTAAATGCTATGGTCCTTTCTGACTTGGAATAGAAATTAATTAAAAGACACCTTTATAGATTCATGCACCCCTAACTCTAGGGCAATCAAGCATCATTACAGACACAGCAGCTATTTTTAATTTGGCAACACATGGTGAAAAACAAAAGTTAACATATGGCGCCGAAAATATTCAATTCCCACAACTCTCTATGTATATACGTGAAGACTGGTTAAATTTAAATTCATGTCTCTATCTGACCTTTTTACATTTTATAATAGATTGCACCATAGAATCAGGGGCATGATCACGTAAACCAGCTACTCCAGGGGTAGGTGTACATTACCACAGCGCCTACAGACATGTCATCAATTTTGATTAAAGAAAAATGTTACTTTCTTTTTTAGATAACATTTTTCAAAAATCTGTAAACTTGTAGTCAAATTTCTCTTCACAATTCTGGGATATTGTATGCAACCTCATTTACACCAGCATATATCACTACCCCTACAAATGTATCTCCCCAATTACATTCCACCAGTGTTGCATTTCTTTTTACTTCACGTAATCTCTCTCTATGTAGTAAATGACTAGCACTTAGTTGTATTAGGCAAATATCTTCTTAAAACTAACTTAGATGTAATTTTTTTTATATCTGTAGTTAATTATTAAATATTTTCTCACAAAAAAAAACAGCTTTTTTGGGAAGTAATGTTCCAATTCCTGACAACTTACCTAGTATGTTTCAAGAATAAGACCAGAATCACCGAATTTGTTTCATTTGGTCTATTTCAAATTTTTCCATTGTCCAAAAACACTATTCTGAAAAGGGCAATAGCGGGCAAGCAAAACTAAAAATAATATGGCTAGAGATAAAGATATGGAATATATTATATATGCTATGTCTTAGAAGATTTTCATCTACATTATACACAGAACTTACCGTGAACGGTTGGTAATAGGTCCTTCATTGTTATAATACCAGTGTACTTCAGGAGGAGGATCGCCAGAAACCTCGCAGTGCAATAAAGCATTCTCATTTTTGTTGACTATTAAATCCTTTGGAGAGACGAGCACTACTGGTGCATTAGGATCTTAAAAAAGAAACCAACAGACATTTAATAATAAATTAAGCAGATAAAGGCAGCCTCTGTCTGCATACAAGTTAGTAGAGTCTATTTCAAATAAAGGAAGAGTGTGTTAGTAAGGCAAAAAAGCACTTTCCTGGGAATTTATATTTAAAAGCAGACTTATCTTTAATGTTAAAGTTGAAAACAAAACAAAAATATAATGTGTGCAGTGCCCTGTCGCTATTTATCACTAGTAACAATAATTGACACGTACCTACTATCCCAGGTTCTAAAATTCAAACTTATAATTCAAATGTACAAAAATGACACACATTGTATGTTATTTTTCGCCAGATGGATCAGGTTTCAACACCAACGAATCTAACTCATACTGGCTGAACACCAACTGTAGACATACTAGTGTGTGAACTGACTACCTTTAAGAAAGCAAAACACCTTGTATCCCAAGAGTTATCACCACTCGAATAGACATACTACTTACTGATTACGTCCAAAGTAAAGTTAGACATTACACTCCAAGCAGAACCAGCTCTATTTTCTGCTCTGCACGAATAGATGCCATTGTCCTGAGTTGTGACATTTTTTATGGTAATTTTATTACTTCGGATGTCTAAATGGTTCGATGATTCAAGAGGGGTAGAAGATTTATACCAATACACAGTGGGGTCTAGGTTTCCTTCTATTCTACAGCGTAACGTTACATCTATGCCGGCACTCAAAAGATTCACATCTGTGGGTTCTTTTAATTGTACTTTGCCATTGTAACTTATCCCTGCAAGTAACCGAGAGAGAGATATATACACCTGATGATCTCGGAATGATGAAGGTGATGATGATGATGATGATGGTGATGATGTTTTCATCTCTAACCAGGAGGTCCGAGGTTAGTTACCAGGAGGTTAGTTGGCAGCTCCAATACATTAGCTTTTCAGAGACAAATAGCAGCATGTACCAAAGTAGAGCAACCAATCAGAAAGATATTTACAACTCAACTCTGAAATAAGCTCATGAACTTTTGACATCCCTGTGACTGGCAATTGCCTACGAGCTAGTTACACCACAGAAACAGTTTCTAATATTATCCACTAACCGTAAGACCTCCCACCAAACGTACATACACAGAGGATTCATAGTTTGTTTGGATTATTATGGAATGAGAGCTCTGCAATAAATTTCCATGTAGAGAAAAAAGAATTCCCTCGATGTTATTCGATATCAATGCAAAGCTGTATAATGATGTTGCTCTCTGCCACTTAGCCCACAAATCAAACCCCTAGTACCATTTAAATTCTCTTTATCACATACAAAAAAAAATGCCGATTTGTATACTTAACAGCAGTTAAGAATTATAACTGGAATTCTTTGAAAAAAAATGAATCATGGGGTCTCTCAAGTACAGTATGTTACAGCGTTGTGAGGAAATAACAGTTATAGCAGACCCAGCTAAGAATTTTCACACTTTTATCAACTCAATCTAGTTAGCAATACTCCTGGATATCATCAATATGAATTCCTTCATGTTTGTCTTGCGATATTGCGCAGTGTATTATAACATTATTATTCGGAGGAACCTAATCTTGTCGCCAACTGTGCGCTGAACTAGAGGTCAGCGATGAGTTCCAACGAGTACAGCATCATTAGTCGGCTGCCATATAACTGTGAATCATTCTATGTTGATTAACGAACACAAAGATATCTTCTTCTTTTTTATGTTTCAGTTTCTATTATAAATTGAGGGCAATATCCAATGCATGCATATAATTTATACAGGGTAGTCACATGATGGAAAGAGGAGGAAGGTGAGAAGAGACGTAATTTAATAAATGGTGGCCATCTGTGATGTGGCTTGTTAAAAAGTGAGTCATACTGTTTCTGTTATCCAGTGGTGGTGGTGGTAGAGCGGTATTGATTTACAATATCATTGTGCACTATCAATTGCAAAGCTTTATTGTCCAGACTATGCCAGTTTCAATACAACTTGCATCTATATTTAGCCTTGAGACTATCTTCCTCCATTCTTTGAACTTGATTACATTTATTGCAAGCTCTTTGAAAATCGCAGCGAGTTGAAATTCAGCAGCAAAAATGCTGCTGGAACAGCCTTGTAAGGCAGTCAATTCCTGACATTTTTAGAGCAATCAATTTCAATATTGTGAAATTATTTATTATATATTAGGTTGTTTTGCATGAGAACAAGCCCACAAGGATTTGATACAAGGCAATAGGGACAATCGATGGGAAATCACTTCAATTCACCGTGCACATTTATTCTTTTATTGGCTTGAATTTCCCAAACAGTTTTAAACAACTAATGCAATAAGACGATCAGAATTATTTGTGACTCAGTGCGATGGGTATCATCCTGTATCCTACTGATACAGCATGGAAGGTTACTCAGGTGGGGGAACATATTCAATTTAACCCATTTACATGGAAAATTTACATGGAAATTCACAGGGCAAAGGTTGAAAGGAATGTCTGAGCTATCAGAGGTGCAGAGTGAGACCAATTATACTCTATTTTGTTCTCTCTACACTCTCACAATGAGGTTGGTCTGTCTGGCTCCTCCCACTTCATTCAAGCGCTACTCTTTGAGGTGCCATATTAGGAATGTGAAGCCAGTGAAAAAGACGCAAATAATTTCTAAATAACCCATCAGCAAAATGAATATTATATTAGGCTTCATCTGCTATGAGTCACGTCAAAGATAAGGCAATCTACACTATTTGGGCTGGTCTTTAAATCACATAAATACACAGGAAATCCATTTTTTGATGACAGAAAACAAAAATATTTACAAGTGATGATGAAACTTTACTGATTCATGCTGAGAAAAATAATCACAAAATGCTGTATTTTTTTCTTTTTATCCGGAAGCAAATTATTGGATTGCTTTGGCGGTTTATCAAGATGCCACAAGGCACAAATTCAGAAGCCTATTAAAAATTCAGACAGCGACAGATTGATATTTTCCAAAGAGATTTGCTATGAACACAACTCACATCAAAACCTTATAAATATAACAAAGTGTGAAATTTATCAAACAATAAAAGAAAAAAAAAATTGTGAAATGGTATAATAGATAAAATACTGTGCAACTGAAGCTTAATCATACCAAATTAATTTCAATGAATCGACAAAGAAATAATCTCCAAGCGTGGTTTGGGAAAATACATTATTCAGAAAAAAAACAAAAAAAAAAAAACAATGCTATCATGGTAAATTCAGCTTCAAATTTTCAAAACAATATTGTCAAAATAATAAACAACCACGAATTCTTCGGTACAAATTATATATGCATGTTTCAATCTCAAGACTCATTTGCAAATTAAAAATCACAAAATGTGAGGTGTAAAAACAGCTGTTAAATAAATTGATTTAGGATTAGTTTTTTTTAAATAATATCACTATATATATATATATATATATATATATATATATATAGGGCTCTCGCTCTCTATACAAACATGTGAATAATTTTTGTACACAATGCCAGCAGGATTACAATTCTATTGAAATCAACGTGCTAACAAGTGAAAGGCTAACTTGTTTTATCTCATCAGAAACTAATAAAAAATAAATAAATTGAAACTCGCTCATAAATATTGATAAGTTGTATTCGTGAATTAATAAAACCGCACTGTGTGAAAAGGAAAAGAAATACTACTACTACGCATATTGTTGCTAATTGCTAAAAATTCAACGATGGTAAATATTTTTTTGAAATGTTTTATAAGTCTTATTTTCCACCCATTTTACTCCTTCCATACTTTCAGACTGGAGAAATTGATTAGTTTATCCAAATTAAACATAAATCGAGGTCTATTTCATTTGTAGACATGGTCCTCTTTTTCATAATCTATCATTTTTAAATTTATCTCCCAGTGGAGACATTATAAAAGACATCAAAGGAACCCCGACAGGCATGGATACACAAACAAAGCACTGTAGCACAGAGTTGTGGAGTTTTTAAAATTGCATTAGTAGTACTGCACATCCCCCCTGGTTTCTTTTACTCACACATGGTTTTGAGAAGCAAGTCAATCAATACGGTGACAATTCAATTCGTCCCCAGTACCAGGAGGATTCCTGCCTGCCAAGTTGATGATAACATCAAAATATGAGAAAATTTATGACTAGGGTGAACTAGTTAGACCCCCACAAGTTATTTTTTTTTTCTTTTCTCAGTTTAGGTTTGCTTATGTCAGCTCAGATTTGACAATTTACTAAAGATGCTGACACAGCCACAGTTGAGAAATATACCAGAATTGTACAATGTGACATACTGAAAATCGATGTATGTGCAGAAACAAAAATGCTTGCTTGATAATGTTTGCCTTAACACAAATAATCAACAGTCAACCCATGCCCAAGATAAAGTCTGTGATTGCAGGACTGCGAATTACATTTGCTGCTGATACAGACTTCACCTTCATGTAACAGAATGAGTGTCCCATACAGATATGGTCAGTGAATACAAACTCACCACTCACCATTTGCAATGCTAATATAGAAATGCATCTGTCAATAATTAAATTTTCACACTAGCGACAAAAGAACGTTGCACGGTATAAACTGCACATATCATTAAAGAATTAAAAGATGGGAAACAAAACTGGACATTGTTAAACATTTCCATAGCAAAATTGTTTGAATACATCCATTTTCGTGAAAACAAACATGCCCCTGCAAGCTGGTCGGAAGTAAGGGAAATCAATACATCATGTGGAAATACCGAATATCACATTATTAACACATTGTGACTGAATTTAAACACACCAATGCTAATTCCGATTTCACCCAAAACTGTAGGGCTTCCATCCATTGACAATGCACAACAAATATTGTGGAGTATATCGAGTTCGTCAAGGTTATTTATTCATTATGGAGATTTATGTATCCCTTTAGAGTTGGGTTTAAAATAGTGTAACTTTGTTAGATCTGCTGTAAGGCTAATTATTTTGCTGCTTGATTGACTTTTCTGCAACTACGTCAATATCAATATTTCACATTCATATCAGAGACTCGTAGAGTTGGGTTGGAAAATAAGGGTTTACACAGCTGCCACAGTAGTGACTGTTAGCAGTATTATATAAACCAGTGTGTAGAACATAAACACATTATCACCGAGTGCCAAATCACTGAGCAGTCCCTGCATATGTGGAAATTTGATGCACAAATGTGCACAGATAATTCAATAAAATATGCATATATGCATGACTACTCTTCTGCCCCTATAACTCAGGAATGTTGTTACAATGAACCTTTTTTCAACTGTTTATTAAAAAACCTTCAAGTATTGGCATTATGAAATATACATGTATAATTAAAGAAATTAACAATTACACACAGACTCAAAATATCTGTAAGGCATTTAGCAGACACACAAAAAAATAGACTAAAAAAAATACTAATGATAGATCCATCTTACAAGCAGGGAAAGCCGCAATTAGCAGACTTTTAAAAAATCTATGTACTGGTGACTAAGTGAGGCTCATTAGCATACCATGTCAGAACCAAATTATGCAGGAATTACTGAGGCGTGTGTAAAATAATTGGTGGTCAAGTATGGATAAAATCCCACCCTGCTGCTAATCTCCTTTGGGAATAAGAAGCCAAGTAACATCCAGGATGCTAAGCAACACTAGTGCATGTGATAAGGTGTAACTGCTGCAGAGCGGTGGGTGAAGTCAAATATAAATCCACATCAAAGCAAAAATCGTGGTGTATAAAATGTACTTCAAAGAGTGTCTGCCGTGGTGTATCTCACCA